TTTTTTTCTCTTACTTAATTGGCCTCTCAGAGTTGGTAAGACAACTCCCACCTGTTCATGCTCTCTGTATGTGTGTATATATATATATATATATATCTCCTCAATATATGTTCCATTCTATATGCATCCGAAGAAGTGGGCTGTAGCCCACGAAAGCTTATGCTCTAATAAATTTGTTAGTCTCTAAGGTGCCACAAGTACTCCTGTTCTATTTATAATGTGTAAACTTTCCTGGCAAAGAGTTTACGTTGTTTAAAAAAGGGGGCCCAATTCTTGCACACACCCACATCTCCTTCCTACTTGTGTTAATTGTAAATGGATAATTAAGCTTACTATAAGACTTTCCTAATTTTTATTGCAGTTGAATATTGCATGTCGGCATGTGATTTAGTGCAACCAGTCATGCTAGCTTCATTTCCTTGTTTAATGTTGGTTAAAACATTTTAAAATATATATATAACCAAATGACCATTTAGCATTTTGACAAATAATCATAGGTCATACTCATGATACTTTCCCATGCAGGAGACTGATATTAAGGAAAAACAGCAATCCCTGTTGATGTTGTCCTGTCAAGGAAGGTTAGAGAGTGAGTTTGAGATCCCTTCTCCCACCAAAGTTTCTGGTAGCAACCCTTGTCCAGCCTTTCTCCCTTTTTCTCCTCTCTCCCTGATCAGTCCCCAGTTCACTAGTCTCTCATTCTCTCACTTCCAGAAAGGATATACTCAGTTTGAGGAAGAATTTCTTCCTCTGCTCTAGGACTGGTGATAAAAATTCCTTGAGTTTTTCATCACAGTTGACCAGTCTGGTGATAGGAATGAAGGGCTTAATATGCTTGCATGTATATTGTCATAAATCAGTTATAGTGTTGCTGGTTGCAGAAGTCCATTTTGAATTCTTGATGTGTGGCAATAACTTGCATTTATACAATGTGCAACTTTTCATCCCGAAGGATCCCAAAGCATTTTACCGAATGATTATACAGTCCATTTCCAGAAAAAAGTGCACCAACATCTTGGTTTGTGTGCCTGGATGTGGCAACACTGCCTGAAGAAAACTCTTTAACTGAAATTGCAAGTAGAATTTTGCTAAGTAGAATACAATGAGCTGAGTTGAAATTGGGATAGGATAACTCTGTATTTTAAGGGATTAATTTGTGTAGTAGATTATGCAAAAATTCTTTTAGGAGCTGTCAGAATCCTAGGTAATCCACATATTAACAATGTTTGTATTGTTGGACTTATTGTATTGCTGCCAGTTTCATAACTGGTGCAGATATATTTTTGCTTAAGGGGAAAAATTCTCGAAACTGGGAAAACAACTTTTATTTGGCTACAGTTCTGTTCTAATTTTATATAATTTACATTGCCTTTCTGAGTTCTTGTGTTGAAGATGCTTCTAAAATAACCGTTTTAGTGTTCAGGTTGTTTCTAGTTCATCCCTTCACAGTTTACTGGTGAGTGGAAGGAATCTACTTGTTTGTATAGTGATAGATGTTCCTACTGTGGAGTAAATACTAATCCTGCTTTGCAAAGCCCCGATCCATTCATGCTTTTGATCAGGCTTTTGGTCCAAAATAAAAAAAAATTGAAATCTCAGGTATTTACACTATAATATATATCATTCTCCTTCACTGTTGACTTCCAGGATATTTGTGTGTTACTAGAACCTGTTTTTCTTCATGGTCTTCCTCCTAGTCAATCAGAAATGTCCCGCTCTAATGTTTGCGATTAGTCAACATACTCTTTGGGAGACCCTACTTCTATGATGTGCTAGCGTCGAAAATGAGATTGCTCCAATGAATTTTACACTACTACTAATAGAAGCTGCAAATAAACTATGTCTCTGCTTATTTGTCTTTACCAAGGGGCTATACAGCAAAGAAATACATACTTCCAAAAACTATATTATGTAGCGCTCTCCTATTTTAATAAACATTTTAAACTTCATCACAAAGATGGATTTTACAATGACCAATCTTGGTTGCATATTGATGACCTTTCCTTGTTTGTACTGGAACAATTCATTTACATTATCTGTTTGAATTTTGGGAGGATGGCTTTTAATCATAGTTTTAATTGTATTTTAATTTGCTCTCATTTTGTTGAATAAGCACCCCTTATTTATGTGTGTGTCTATGGATGCTTAATAAATAACCAACCATTGAGAAGGTGTTTGGTCACAAGCATGCTTTATCTTGGTTTCCATTTACATTATCTCTTTCTTTCTCATACCCACACAAATATAAAAGTTTAAAAAATTAGCTATCACCAGTGATACAATTTTTGTCTTAATTGGTACTTTTAGTGAAGAAGGATGAATGTAACTGCAAAATACATAATCTTATTTCTCACACTATAGAACACTTTCAAATGTACCAAACAGACAGTAGTACAGTATGCACAGTTTGGAGTGTGTATGGGGGAGAAGAAGGCCATCCAGGCTATTTAAAATAAAACAGTAATATTGAGTTCTAAATTCAGTGTGAAGAATATTCTGAAAACACATATGTAGCTCCCATTAATTTTAGTTTTAATGGACAAGTGTGATCTTGAGGCATTATAGTACCCAGAATTCCTTGCACTAGAAGTGCAGTGAGAGGAAAGATGGGCCAATGGCTGAAGTGCTAGCTTGTGCTATGGAATAACCAGTTTCAATTCCTTCACCCTCAGACATCCTGTGTGACCCTGGGCAAATCACTTGGTCTTCCGGTGCCCGAATTCCCTATTTGTAAAACGGGTGTAATAGAACTTCCATCTCTGCAAGGGTGTTGTGAAGATAAATGCACGTTAAAGATTGTGAGGTGATGGAGGCCAGATAAGTACGTAAGATAGCATATTAGCATATTGCCTCTATAGTATTTCTCTTAGCATCTTTCTCTGGCAGAAGCTTGGAGTGGCTGCTCCAGAAAGAGCCATGTCTAGTTCACTTTTGTCAGAGAGAGATATGTGGTGATGTTGCAAATGGAGAATCCTTCTCCGAAAACAGAGAGTGAGTGTCATGGGAGAAAAAGGTTGCCTGAATATGCGGTTTATCAGTGACTAGATTAGGAACAAGTAGCACTGCTTTAAATTAAGTGGGGGAATTTTAAATAAATTACACTTGGAATTGAGTGCTTCAAAGAATTGCTGGTTCTGTTATTGTCTGTCTTAATGGACACTAAACTTAAATTACTGGGGTCTCCTGGCTTAAATGCTATTGGCTGCACTGTCTTGGTCTTAGAGATTGGTTAGCATTATCTGTTCTAAACCTGTATGGTGTTGTGGTGTTAACATTTTGATGAGAGCATGTATATTTAAACAATTGTATAGCAGGATATAAAATGACAGTATTTAATATGTGCAGAAAAATGAGATTCATTGGAGAAATAACCAACGATGAAAGGTAAACTGAAGGAACCCAAATTCTGTCATCCTTGGGCCACATGGTCAGCTGGTTTACATTATTTAAGGATATGGCCTTTTGTTCTTAGCCCTACAGTTGGATGAAGTTCTGTGTATACCCTAAGTGTGTTAGAGACGAGACATTTTTTTCCCCATGTTATTTACCCTTGTACTCTAGTACAACGGTTGTGGTACGGAAACGTAATTGGCCGCAGAGCAAGATATATGTTGAATTGGAGGACTTGGAAAAAAGGGTTCAAAATGTCTTGTTCCTGGATCAAACCATGGGAATTAATATTCTAAAATCAGGGAACTTAGGACTCTCCCCTTTACCCCAATAAAGCTGCTAGTTGATAAATGATGATGTCAGATTGTACAGAAATATATTGTTAGTACCCCACCTCTTTGCATCCTTCCTTTCTTTATCTGAATTCCAGTTTTGATCATAGTATTGAGTTTCAACATTAACTTTATTTCAGTATTAATCAAAGGTTACATATATAATGTGTACTAGCTTGATTGATGAGATGAAAATGTAGTGTCAGATTTTGTGTCAGAAACTTATGCCCAGTTTAAAAACCTTGAGATGCTGTAGACTTTAAATTGTTTGTCTTGTCTTTCAGCACTCAACCTGCTACAGCTTATTCCCACCCAACCACTGCGGCAAGCTACACTGTTCAGCAAGCTCCTGGGGTGGCACATACTGTGACGCCATCTTATGCTCCCACAGTGCAGGCTGCCAGGCCAGTTGCAACTGCTGCCTATGGAGCATACCAATCGCATTCAGGACAGGACTATGGTTATGGAACTCGGCAGCAGGAACCTCCCCCCCAGCCTACTACAACACCAAACTACCAGGTATCAATCCACGAAACCTTTTGGTGACACTTTAATTGGTAACTTATCTGAGCAGCATTTGTCCACGTTAATTGCATCATATAAATTTTTGTCTGGGAAGCAGAATAAGGCTGGTAATGTATGATTTTTTTTTTGTGTGGTTTGTTTGTTTTTACTCCATATGTTTCCAATCTTTAATTGAAACAGGGACAAGGACTGTGTTTTATGCTATATTTGTACAGGCTCAATGGATTCCAATCCTTAATTGGGGTTTCCAGGCACCAAGATAATACAGATATTAATTATAAAATTAATATATTGGTATTAAGGGATTTCTTTCTGATAAATCCTTCAAGATGTTGGACTTGCGGGCTCTAGTATATTTGATACCTTTTTGACTACACATAAAAGCACTACATTTATATATGTATCAGCAAATGCTGAGGGATCAACTGAAATTACTAGAGAGCCAAAACAGGTACAAATCTAAGAACATACATAGCTTTAATTTCCTAAAGTCTAAGGACTATCAACTTTGAAACAAGAGCTGCAGAATGAAATCTGGGAGGCTTTTTGATTTTTTTTTTTCTATTATAAACTGACTTGTTTTCCCCAGTTGACATGAACGAATGCATAAAAAAAATTAGCAATTAATTGGACTATACCAAAATGGCTATCAATTTGCTAAAGAATGCTTAATTTATCTATTATTTTTTGTAGCATTGGGCTGTGTGTTCATAATTTGGTTTCTTTTTTGTTCTGTTGGAATTTCATATACAGGATGGTTACAGTTATGGACGGTCTACATCTGCAAGCTGCTATGAGAGCAAACAGTACTACCAGCCAGTTGCTACCCAGCCTCAACACACTGCCACAGACTCGTACTACCAGTCAAGTGAGTGCTACAGGAATCCAGTGTTCACAGCTTTAGTGTGTTATTTCAAAGTATGTACAGTACTGGGAGGTTCAAAATGTTAACGGTTTATTGGCAGCAGGGTATCAGTTGCAGGTAAGGTGTCAAAAGTAGCTTAATTAGACTTTTTAGCAACTTTGGAAAATGCCTTAAATCTTCTCTTAAGGGTGTGGCATTTTCATTTTTTCCATTTCATTAAATGTCATAACTTGAACACAAATGTTACTTCATACTAATGTTTAAAAAAAAAAAAAAAAGATTTGTAAGAATCTGAATGCACAAATATTTATCTTCATACATATAAGAAAAAGAGAGCTGTCTACATATGACATGAACTGATAGAGTATAAATACAAATCACAATGGTGACTTGAAACCAAGCTGGAAATACTGGTTCTTATAGAGAATTGGATTTGATAAGAATGTGAAAAGTAACTTATAATATTATACTTTGGAAGATCATTCCTTTTATGGGTTAAGTACATCTACTCAAATTTCAGGTGAAAAATAATTTACTAGGAGCCCATGAGTAGTTAGAAAAAATCAAGCCCATTCCTCAAGCCTCTGGGTGTATTTACATATTGAAATATAATTAAATATAAAAAATATACAGCATGCCCTATTTGTAGAGAAAATTATAGTAAAAAATGTAGGGATAGTGTCACATTTTTGTTGAGGACGCAAAAAGCACAAAACTGACTCCTATGCATCTTTGCTTGCACAGACTTTGCTATGAATATAATGGCCATACTGGGTCAGGCCAATGGTCTGTCTAGCCCAGTATCCTGTCTTCTGACAGTGGCCAATGCCAGGTGCTTCAGAGGGAATGAACAGAACAGGTAATCATCAAGTGATCCATCCCCTGTTGCCCGTTCCCAGCATCTGGCAAACAGAGGCTAGGGACAGTTCAGAGCATGGTTTTCATCCCTGCCCATCCTGACTAATAGCCATTGATGGACTTATCCTCCATGAACTTATCTAATTCTTTTTTGAACCCTGTTATAGTCTTGGTCTTCACAACATCTTCTGGCAAAGAGTTCCACAGGTTGACTGTGCGTTGGGTGAAGAAATACTTCCTTTTGTTTGTTTTAAACCTCTTGCCTATTAATTTCATTTGGTGACCCCTTGTTCTTGTGTTCTGAGAAGGAGTAAATAACACTTCCTTATTTACTTTCTCCACATCGGTCATGATTTTATAGGCCTCAATCATATCCCCCCTTAGTTGTCTCTTTTCCAAGCTGAAAAGTCCCAGTCTCATTAATCTCTCCTCATATGGCAGCAGTTCCATACCCCCAATCATTTTTGTAGCCCTTTTCTGAACCTTTTCCAATTCCAATATATATATTTTTTGCGATGGGACGCATCTCCACGCAGTATTCAAGGTATGGCCGTACCTTGGATTTATATAGAGGCAATATAATATTTTCTGTCTTATTATCTATCCCTTTCTTAATGATTCCCAACATTGTTTGCTTTTTTGACTGCTGCTGCACATTGAGTGGATGTTTTCAGAGAACTATCCACAATGACTCCAAGATCTTGCTTGCATGGTAACAGCTAATTTAGACCCCATCATTTTATATGTATAATTGGCATTATGTTTTCCACTGTGCATTACTTTGCATTTATCGACATTGAATTTCATCTGCCATTTTGTTGCCCTGTCACCCAGTTTTGTGAGATCCTTCTGTAACTCTTTGCAGTCAGCTTTGGACTTACCTACCTTGAATAGCTTTATATCATCTGCAAATTTTGCCACCTCACTCTTTTTACTTCTTTTTCCAGATCATTTATGAATATGTTGAACAGTACTGGTCCCAGTACAGACCCCAGGAGGACACCACTGTTTTACCTCTCCCTATTCTGAAAACTGACCTTTTATTCCTACCCTTTGTTTCCTATCAGTTAAGCAGTTACTGATCCATGGAAGGACCTTCCCTCTTATCCCATGACAATTTACTTCGCTTAAGAACCTTTGGTGAGGGACCTTGTCAAAGGCTTTCTGAAAATCTAAGTACACTATATCCCTTGGATCAGCCTTGTCCACATGTTTATTTGACTCCCTCAAAGAATTCTGTGGATTGGTGAGATATGATTTCCGTTTACAAAAACCATGTTGACTCTTCCCCAGCAAATCGTATTCATCTATGTGTCTGATAATTCTGTTCTTTACTATAATTTCAACCAACTTGCCTGGTACTGAAGTTAGGCTTACTGGTCTATAATTGACAGGGTTGCCTCTAGAGCCTTTTTAAAAAATTGGCATCACATTAGTTATCCTCCAGTCATCTTACTCCTGGGCGAATTCTGTGCCACTGCGCATGCACAGAATTTATGTCCCCTGCAGATTTTTTTGCTTCCCCGCAGAAAAATGACTTTGACGGGGAAGCAAAGGGAAGCAACAAGAGCAGTCATGAGACCCTCCCCAGCAGTATGTTTCGGGTGCCTAGGGCAGCCAGCAAAGAGGTAAATCATTGTGGGGCCGGGGGCGGGACTGGGGAAGACCCAGCTGGTGGGTCCTACCCTGCGCTGGGCTCAGCTGCTGGTCAGCTGGACTGGGGAGGAAGGGACTTCCTCTTCCCCTGCATGGTATCCAGGGCCGGGTCAGACCCACCCCCAGATTTATCCCCTGTCTGTAGGAAGGTCTGCAAACTCTCCCTCCCACGCTTCCTGCACCCATCGCCCATCAGCTGCAGGGGAAGGATCACTGTACAGGGCGCTGCTCCTCCATCTGCCCAACCCCCATGCATCCAGACCCCCTCACGCCCAGACTCACCTGCCGACCCTCAAAACCCTCTCCCCCGCACCTGGATGACTCTGACAAGCCACCCGCACCTGGATCCCCACTCTACCAAGCCCCAACCAGCTGCACCTGAATCCCCCCCCCCCTCACCCACATTCCCCCACCCCCAACCCCCCCCCCCCCCCCCTGTAGCCCCCCCCCCCCCCCCCCCCCAAACTTGGATCCTGCCTTTCTGAGCCTGCCCACCCACGCCTGGTGCATCTGGCATGGAGGGGCAGGGTCCTGGGGTGTTTCTGGGGCAGGCCCAGTCTTTGCGCTGTGTCAGGGTTGGGTGCAGCCTCACCACTGAATCTGTGTCCCGGGGGTGGAGCTGTACAGTGATCTCCCACCCCGTGCAGCCAGTGGCCTGTGCTTCCCAGTGCCACGCTAGTGCCTCCACATTTATTTGACAAATAAAATTTGCAGAATTTTGTAGAATTTTAAAATATTATGCGCAGAATTTTTGTTGGAGCAGAATTTTTAATTTTTTGGCACGGAATGCCCTCGGGGTAGTCATCTAGTACAGAAGCTGATTTAAATGATAGGTTACATACCACTTCCATTTCCACCTTAATTGAATTGGTCTCATTCGCACTGACTCCCCACTTGGTAAGGCAACTTCCATCTTTTCATATATATAGTGCTTACTGTATTTTTCACTCCATGCATCTGATGAAGTGGGTTTTAGCCCACGAAAGCTTATGCGCAAATAAATTTGTTAGTCTCTAAGGTGCCACAAGGACTCCTCGTTGTTTTTGCTGATACAGACTAACACGGCTACCACTCTGAAACATACCACAGTTAGTAGTTCTGCAATTTCACATTTGAGTTTCTTCAGAACTCTTGGGTGAATACTATCTGATCCTGGTAACTTACTAGGAATTAGGATTCACTTTAAAACCTGTGAGTTCTAAATGTTTGTTTCATTTTTGTGACTGTATAGGTTCCCTCTGGTGGCCAAAACAATAGCTTTAAATTCCCCTGGATAACTGAAGTCTCTTTAGCCCACTGGAATAAGTCTGCATGATTCTGTTCATTTTTTGTTATTATAGCTCAAAGGTATTGAGCTCATCTCATGTTGAGAGCATATTTAATATTAAAAATTTGTTTTCTTGCTGCTTTTCCCTTGAGGATCAAATTGGGTCACTATATTTTCAGCACTAGATTATCTTTCTGATTCAGAATTTTTTTCATATTTAACTAAGCTAGTTAAATAATTCTATTTAAAAAGCAAATCAAACATACCATAATAAGCATTTTGTTATGAAGTTTTGCTCAAGGGTACTTTATAGCTAGAGGCTTTTCAAGGGTTCAACAAATCCATAACACACTTAAGGTTTTGGAACCAGTTGCTATAGGTAAATGGACATAGGAAATTATTCACATTAAGTCCTGAAGTCCTTTCTCAGAAAAAAATTCTGTTGAAGTTGATGAGAATTTTGCCTCATTATTCTGGAATCCTTAAGGCCCCGAAGTGGAGTGAAAATGAATACATGTAGGATGATGGCTAAATCAGGCATTTTAAGAACATAGGATTAGCCGTAATGTATGAGAACAGTTGTCCTTCAAGTCTGGTATTCTGCTTGTAGCAATGATTATTTGAAGCTTTAGAAGAAGGCAAAAAAAATTATAAAACACCCAGTCAATTGCTTGTATTCATGGTCATGAAGGGAGGATTTATTCTTGGCCTCTGCAGTGATCCTTAAAGGATGAAATTTGACTGTCCACATCTTAGCATATGTAACTACAAATTATTATTGGTTATAAATTTTTCCAGATCCTGTGTAAATCCAGCTGCAATATTCAGTTCTCTGGCTTCTTGAGGTAATGAATTTTACAGGTTAACTACATGCTCTGTGAAGAAGTTTCTCATATGTGGGTCCATCGGTCAATCCAGAAGACTCACTTCTGGGTAGGTCTCTCCCACTCGTCCACAGAGGCAGCTGGCTCGACTTTTTGGTGGCAAGAGGAGATTCTGATAACCAAATGCAATTGAGCTGCCACTGTGCTCAGTGCTAGCTGTATTCTGAAGCACTTTGCTCTTCTTACCTTCTTGGCTGGCTCTTCCAGATTTACTCCCGCTGCTGGGAAGCCATCCCCATCTCTTGAACCCTTCTGTTCTCTGCATCGTGTTTTTCCTCTGCTTTGCCAAAGTGGTGGTTGGGCCTCTGATGTAGTACTTCAGAGGAGCTTCTTGGCTG